GGGTCCTGACGGTCGGGGTCTGGGGTCCGCCGACCGAAAACCACCTAAGCCTGGAGGTAGCCGCGCACACTCCACCGAGTTCACGGAGCCACGGGGTGCTGTGCGGCTCCCCACTTCTCAGCGTGCGGGGCGGACACGACGTCTCCATGCGCCCCAACAGTAGACCGGTGAACAGTGCTCCAAACCCAGTGTGACAGGCAGACTGCGTGCCAGTATTTACCAGGGCGTGTGGTGCCCTCCACGGACACCGGCCAAGGCACTAAGATTTGCACAGCTTTACTGAGCTCATGCACAGTCCCTACTGCTCGTCCATTGTAGGGGGTAGGCCTCTGTGATCCATCTCCAGCAGGGTGGGCTTTGGATGGAATTTGTTGAATTTCCTCAGGGCAAACAGAATGTAGGGAGGAGGGAACAGGATATAGGAACAAAGAACTGTGGACGTGGGCCAGTATCACGGTGGAAAGGCCGGAACAGGGGGAAGTGGGGGCAACTGGAGAAGGCCTCAGCCCAATTCTTCTAAATGGCCCAATGGGAGACATGGCGGAAACAGGTGACTCCATAGTACTCAGCCAGTGAGGAACTGGAGGAGGGACTGAATAAAGCGGTGTTTGCTGCTCCAGGTGTGCCTGTACCAACGGACACCCACTCTCCAGAGCGTATTAAAAATCTCGTTTTGGCCATATTTCTGTCTCCGAGCCCATCATTTGAATTCGGACAGGTTAGTATTTCTCACATCCATGTAGTGTGCGGTCCAGTGGTTGTTTGTGCTCACAGTGCTGCACTCATCACCCCAAGAGGAGGGGAGTGAGCACCCCGCTGCAGGGCTCCTTTGCACACATAGCAGGCCCAGGCCCCAAACCTGTAAGAAAAAGAAAAGGCCAAATGGGAGAGGAACCCTGAAGGAAGGAAGCGGCTTTACAGAACGAGGGCAGCACTGCTCAGCTCTGGGACGACCCACACTGCAGTCAAGTCACTTCAGGAGCCCTGGACCACCCAGTAAGCCATAAGCACACCATCCATCTGTCCACGTGAGCTTCACATGATGAGGACGAGAGCTGAACCTGAAACTGTTGCACAGACACGACCAGCACAACCCCAGGTGAAGACCAGACACAACATTACAGGAAAGTAAAACTCCAGAGCAACAGCCCCCATGAACAAGTAGGCAAACATTTTTTAAAATCCTCACCCGAGAATATATTTTTATCGATTTTTTAGAAAGAGAGAAACATCCATTGGTTGCCTCCTGTACATGCCCAACAGGGGATCAAATCTAAAACCTAGGTATGTGCCCTGATGGGGAATTGAACCCACAGCATTTTGGTGTATAGGACAATGCTTCAACCAACTGAGCAAGTATGCAAAATTTTTTAACAAAATCTTAGCCAACTGAACTCAACAAGATTAACAAAAAGGAGATTATGATGCAAGCTTTGTGTACTTTTAAGAGTCAACCAATAGAAATTACCATATTAGCCCTAACCGGTTTGGCTCAGTGGATAGAGCGTCAGCCTGCGGACTCAAGGGTCCCAGGTTCGATTCCGGTCAAGGGCATGTACCTTGGTTTCGGGCACATCCCCGGTAGGGAGTGTGCAGGAGGCAGCCGATCCATGTTTCTCTCTCATCGATGTTTCTGACTCTCTATCCCTATCCCTTCCTCTCTGTAAAAGAAAAAAATCAATAAAATATATTTTTTAAAAATTACCATATTAACAGATGAAAAATATCAGCCATATGATTACCTAAACAAAACAAAACCGGTCCTAGTCAGTTTTACTCAGTGGATAGAGCGTCGGCCTGAGAAATGAAAGGTCCCAGGTTTGGTTCCGGTCAAGGGCACATGCCAGGGTTGTGGGCTCGATCCCCACTGGGGGACTTGCCGGAGGTAGCCGATCCATGATTCTCTCTCATTGTGGATGTTTCTATCTCTCTCTCCCTCTCCCTTCCTCTCTGAAATCAAATATATACACAAAACAAAACAAAAAAAAACCCATGTTTGACTAATCCAACATCCATTCCTGATAGAAATTCTGCCAACCGAGAGCACACAGGAAATATAACTATAGCTAATGTCAGACTTAGTGGTAAAGAGCAAATGCCCCCACCCCCGGATGAGGGAAATAGCCAAGATGCCCACAGTCACCACATCTGCTCAGTGTTGTACAGAGGGCCCACTGAGCACAACAAAGCAGGGGAGAGACAGGCTTTCAGGTGGAAGAGAAGTGCCTTTACTTGCAGATCCCATGCCCATCTGTGCAGGAAATCCCACGGAAATCTATAAAAGCTAGTATGTGAATTCAGCAAGGTCACAGAATACAAGAACAGCATGCAGATGTCCATTGTGTTCCACATACCAGTGATACACAGGTGTGCACTGAAATTAAAATATGCCAGTACACTCACTCAGAAATATGCTTAGGTGTAAATTTAACAGAATTTTGAGAGTAAGTGGATGCTGCACAGATATGCTCCCAGGAACAAACTGGTATTACAACTAAAATACAGAAAAACTTCCTGAATAATCAACATAAAACTCACAGAAGAGAACCCTGATACCTGAGGACCGAAAGTGAAGATGGCATAGAGACTGGAAGAACAACATAAGTAGATTAGTTTTTGAAAGTGTTCAGTAGCTGCACATTTAAATCATTTGCTTTAAAATATATAAAAATTACTTAAAAATAAAAAAAAGAAATTTAACAGGTATAGAACATGTATGTTGGATATCACACTGAATCCTTTCACAGCCCTAAAATCCTCTGTGCCCCACCTCTTCATCCCTCCCCTCAACCCCTGGCTACCACTGATCTTTACTGTCTCCACAGTTTTGCCTTTTCCAGATGTCACATAGTTGCAGTCACAGATTGATTCCTTTCAGATTGGCTTCTTCCACTCAGTCATGCATTTCATTCCTCCCTGTTTTGTCATGGCTTGTCAGCTCATTTCTTTTTCGGTGCTGAATAATATTCCCCTGTCTGGCTGACCTGTCCATCCACCTGCTGAAGGACATCTTGGTGGCTTCCAAGTGTTGGTGATGATGAATAAAACTAGGGGTCCAGTGCACGAATTCATGCACCAGTGGGGTCCCTCTGGCTGGCCTGTGGGATGGGGCCAAAACCAGCTCTCCGACATCCCCCGAGGGGTCCCGGATTGCGAGAGAGCACAGGCCAGGCCAAGGGACCCCAACAATTCACAATCGGGCCGGGGAGGGACGTGGGAGGTGGCCAGCCAGGGAGGGACTGAGGGAGGGCTCGAGGGCATGTCCAGCCTGTCCCGATCAGCCGGACCCCAGCAGCAAACTAACCTATAGATGGGAGCGTCTGCCCCCAGGTGGTCAGTGCACATCATAGCAAGTGGTTGAGCAGCCTTAGCAAATCATTAGCATATTACGCTTTGGTTGGTTAAATGGATGACTGGACGACCGGCACTTAGCATATTAGGGTTTTATTATATAGGATGACTATAAACATACATGTGCAGGTTTTATGTGGACATCAGCTTTCAGCTCCTTTGGGTAAATAGCAGGGAGCGTGACTGCTGGGTCCCACGAATCTGTTCAGTTTGGTAAGAGACCACCCAGGTGTCTTCCAAAGTGGCTGCGCCCCTGCCTTCCCACCAGCAGTGAAGGGGAGTTCCCGCTGCTCCGCGTCCTCGCCGGCACTTGGTGGTGTCAGTGCTCTGGGTTTTGGCCGTTCTGATAGGTGTGTCCCATGATCTTTTGTGGACCCAATTACAGAGCTGGCGAGGTGCAGCATGGCACAGGGCCGGCTGATGTCTTCAGGACACAGTATATGCTCTGAGTTAGCAACCAGTATTGGTGGTCTGGCTTCAAAGCCAGGATTCAGGGACCTGTCACAATTAGC